TCCTGCACGTGTTGAACCTTCAATAAAGAAAACACAGAACTAGTACTAAAATGATCTCTCAACTAAAAGATTGATATATTAAAATAATAAAAAAAATATAAGGAAAAAACCTCTGCAACTAAAAAACTTTCCTCATTTGTGCCCCACACGCTTTTAAAAACTGAAAATACATAAACACGGTCATTGTGTAACTGTAGAGAATTAAGGCTTCTAAAAACTTCAGTGCCAAAATAACCTCTATGCATCAGTATTCAGAATAAAACGTTTTCCATTTTCAAGTTGTGCTTGCTTTTTTTTCTTTTTGAAGACTTTCCTTAGTTCCACTGAATCTTGTCACATAATATTACAGACTGAAGGGGAGTGTTAGAACTGCTTACTGAGGTTTTAAGTAGTTGTTAGACTAAGTTACAGCGATAAAATTACTGATCTGATTTCAGGACTACTTTACATGGGGCGGTTGGCTCATTTCACCTTCTTTTCATGCTTAATGTGGCCGTTTCTTCGATATTTGCCGTTGGGGATCCCATTCTGGTAATGTCCGTTAACAGCGCTATGTTTGTCATTCGACCAAAGGTGTTTGCTCTGTCTGCGGATAAATTTTGTTATCCTGGCCAAAACACAGTAAAGTAAGGCAGCACCTGCTAGTACAACAAAGGCAATATCCAGTAAGAAATACTGATATAAAGAGATGCTGTAAACAGCAGCACGTAGATGTTGGGCTCCGTTGTGGCGGAGGATGTAGTTAATCCAATATACCGTCCGGTTAACGGGGTGACCAGGTTGGTCTTTGTGAATCTCAGAGAGCCTCTGGGCCCGCCGTCGGTAGCTGCAGGGAAAAAACAAAGAAAAGAAAAAAAAGAACAGAAGGAAAAATTGTCAGCAGTGCTCTCGGCGACATAAGCCTGCCAACATGTCAACGTACTTAAGGCTCTTGAGCTCAAACAGTGTATTGCCGCAGGATTCTGGCAAACGGCAGCGTACGGAGGGCAAGACGCGGCAGATAATCCCCTCACCAAATCAAGTCTTTGCAGCTTATTAGTGAAGACTGGCTAGGAAAACCGAACCACGTGCGACTGCAGGCAGAAATCCACCCTCCAGCAAAGCAAGGAAGAACCAAGCTGACCTGAGCTGCTGCTAGAGGGGAATCTTAGCTAATCCAAAACAAATCCTACCGAGCAAGACGCATTTGCCCTTCCCACCGTAAAGTGGCAACGTGCCCTGTCTAACACACACCACTCCTCATGTTGTACAACTGCATTACTAGAGAAACACCGAATAAAGTGAGAAAAATCGTTTTTGATTGCACAACAGACTCTTTCCACTTGAGTCCAGTGTTCAGCCTAAAACGTTTTGGTTTTTTTTTCCCCCAACAGGCTGTCACCCCCAGCAGCAGATTACAGCAAATTGCTTCCTTCCCTGCTCACCGCAGCTGCGGGGTCGGCCAGTTATTTAGTCAGGACTCGCCTTGACACTAAGGATAGTTGCACAAGAGAAAGGTGATGCAATTGATGGTATCGACATCTCTCTGGCGACATCTCCCTTGCTGCGGTTCTGCTGCTCGCTCCTTACAGGTTTCTCCTTTCCTAAAGCTTGAAAACTTCCGTACCATGAAACGGGCAGACAGCCTTGAAGCACCATACTCTGAAAAGTATGGTTAGCCTGACAGGATGAACTACCAGCTAACACATTTTTATCTGGAGATGGTATGAATATCACCGATGTTTAAACAAAAACGGCTTGGAAGAAATTTGAGTGACTCTCCTCAGATTTTTAGTAACTCAGAGGAAACCCATTTGATGGAATTCAAGAGTTATGACACGTTGTGGCCTTTTACTTATTTCACCTCAGTAAAAAAAAAAAAATCACCAACAACTGACCCAAGTCCTCATATTCATAAACTTGTCACAACGTTGTCATTGCAACTAACACAAATGATCTTCCTGATCTTAAGAGAGATAATACTGGCCAAGAACAGGCTATTACTTTATTTTTAAATCAAATCACGGTACTCCAGAGTCACTCTATGTGAATACCTCCATATTTTTAGCTACAATCCAAACTTGCCACAGGTTGTACAGGTATATTTTACTCCAAGCCCTTTAGGCATCACAACAGATTTCTAAACACGAAAAAATCACAATGCAAACAATACAGAATAATCACAATTGCAGACATCAGTCTGCAACAAGGAGTAAGTCAGGGCAGGTTTGTTTTTATAACCCTTCTGCCCTTCACATGGCAACTGTCACAAAAAGCAAATGAGCTAACGAAGCTTTCGTACACTGAGCAACCAGCTTAACACCTACACGTAAACCTGACGAACTGAGTTATCTTGTGCAACGCAACAACCATCCAAGGACTTGCCCCAACCGTGCACACAAATTAATCACCTTGAGGGTTTTTTCCTCTTGCACAAGGGTTCTGTATATGCATATTTAACCTGTAACAACCAAAATACAATTACAAAGCAATCGCTCGTTCCATACCTGGGATCATTAATAACTTTTACAAGGGCTTCGTACAATTCGTTCGCGGTGACGGTCTTCCAGTTCAACAGTATTCCCATGCCTTTGGCCTGCACACGCGTCATGGTATCATAATGGTCTCCAAAAAGGGGAATCCCCACCACAGGGACCCCGTGGTACATTGTTTCAAAAATGCTGTTCAAACCTCCGTGACTAAGAAAAGCTTTAATGTTCGAGTGCCCTGAAAACAGAAAAAGAACAAAGATTAAAAAAACCCCACACATTTATCTCTAATGTAAGGTTTTTCAAGCAACTGAGCGCAAAGCCTTTGTCATCATGTTTCTGCTGCTCCAAGTCAGGAAGGCAAAAATAGATGCAACTTGTTATCAAGCTCTCCTCCTTAAACCACCTCCACTGACATTTAACTGCATTAATAACTCAGACACTAAGAGTGGGAACATCCAATCCAAAGAAAATTCTCAAGTATACAGGTTATGTAAAATTATTAATGGATTGATTAGTATACCCTGCTCACTCCTGAGTAGCTGCAGGTGGTGACCACAACCACTTCATCACTACAGATGAGCCAGGGAGAGAGCATTTCTCCTTTTTATTCGTCTGAAATAAAAGCTATTTAATGACAGAAAAAGTGATGTTACAATTCTCTCTAAAGCTTGACACGCCTTACTTCAGGCTAGCAAGATCTGACAGTCAGGATAACAACCTTATGTAATGGAAAAATGAGCCTGCCTCAGAGCAATTCAGTAACCAAAACAAATCTACCTGCTTTACAAGTCATTTGCCTAATCACTCGCTTCTAACAAATACTCCAGCCAACACCAATGCACATGCGTGTTTAACGTATTCATTGTAGCACTGAAGCTGTTTGCCAACAGTGAAACACTCAGGTATCCCTAGAGACAACCGTAAATATTCAGCTGCCTCTCGGTCCTGCATCGTATTCATCCACCTTTCGACAAGAAAAGGGAACAAAGTACGTGGACTCTAACGCAGTCCTCACTAAAAGATCAAAGAGTATCAAGGTGAATCTTTGCACCCAAGAATATGGAGCAGCTCAGGTTAAACAAAGCTTTTCCTCAGCTTGCAACATCTGCTCAAGTTTTGTTAGAGCCTTCTTGCAAGAAAAAGAATCAATGTGTACACATACAGCAGCACATACACCTGTGACTTGTTTTGATGCCTGTGAATAAATTCTGTACACTCAGTCTGATGAAGAAACCAGCTAACTCCAGACCATGCTTTTTTCTAATAGAACAATTAACAGATAGTCATCAGTTGGCTAAAATAGAAGTTTCAAGAAAATTCCCACTTAACTTGTTCCTCAAACTGCACAGCTTCAATGCCATTCAAAACACCCATCACAAATCTCTCATTTATTAGGTCAGTCTTTGGAATACCTATGTATTTCCAGCCTATTAAGTTCAGGAAAACATAGTGAGTACCAGGGAAAGATAATTATCACAAAGAAAAAAAAGTTTGATTTGATCATCTTGCAATTCTGACAAACTATATTCTTCTTCCATGTCACTCATTATAGATGGCTTTATCGTGAGTGCTAAACCAGCAGAATATAATTAGAAAAGTAACCCCAAGTCAAGTAAGACTAAGTGATATATGATCAAAATAGATACTCACCAAGGAGGTCATTTTGTGGTAACCACTCTATAAGCTTTGTATTGTTGCCTAAATTCCTTGGTTTGTTTCCTGAAAACCTGAAACACAGAAAAATAAATCAAATGGAAACTGAGTTAAAGACCACCAAAATCAATCAATTCACTTGACAGAACTCCAACTAAATAATTCATGAGCACCAAAGCACTTGTTACACAGGGATACTGTTTATTACAAGAAACCAAAATTCTTTAAAGTAGCTACCAACTTGCAACTTGGTTTTGTTCCCATCCAGTTTTCCAGCATCACAACTGTAATGCACTGCTTTCTACTACCATAATGCTGACGCACTTGCTTCACAAAGCACATAAGAAACCTTTCCCCCATGACTGGCAGGAGGCTTTGTAAGCTCTCCGCGGTTCCCCGTTAACTGCTTTCATGAAAAATTCTGAGAGCATCCTATCAGCACACAAATAGTAATCCCCATCCTCAGCACCAGACATCCCCTTGAATTGGGCCAATTTCCTGTAGCTCTTGATAACTGACACCACCTTATTTTACAAGGGGTTAAAAACACCAGGAAGGGAAAGGCTGACAGCTGAGCTTAGGAGACCGGAAGCTATTGATGCGAGTTTGTAGATAACAGGGCAAGACAAAGGTGTTTTTCTCACTTGCTAAACTGCCTGAAACACAACAGCAATGCTTTGCTCACCTGAGGCTGCTGGAAAAGTTTAGCCCATAAAATACATGCTCAAAGTACAAATTGATTTACATGTTGTTATATACAGTTAACAAAGTTAAATATATTCAAAAGAGAAAACAAAGAGGGAAAAAATTACAAGTGACAACTAGAGGCTATAGCGGTTCTGTGGCAGTTCCACTGAATGACTTAAAAATTCTCTTGTTATTAGAGAGCATTAAAGCTGTAACTTCATAAACAATCTCCTACAAACTCCCAATTTAATAAGCCATAAGTCTTGACAAATGGCTTGCACATTCTGTATGTTGAAAAAAGCCCGTGTTATTAATGCTAAGCTATGTAAAACCAAATAAACTTTTTACTCATTTTGGCTCTAACTAATCCCCCAGAAACAAAGCTGTAACTTCATAAACAATCTCCTACAAACTCCCAATTTAATAAGCCATAAGTCTTGACAAATGGCTTGCACATTCTGTATGTTGAAAAAAGCCCGTGTTATTAATGCTAAGCTATGTAAAACCAAATAAACTGGTTTTACTCATTTTGGCTCTAACTAATCCTCCAGAAACACACAAATAACCATGATTTCCTTGATTTGGTGAGGACACACTGCCAAGCAGCACTACCTTGCTCATTTTCCTAAGCGGCAAGGATAAAATTCACCTGCATCCAACACAAACCATAGGGTCAGCCATCTGAAGAACAAAGAAATAAGTCGAAATCCTAATTTCATATTTAATTATGGACCTCAAACTCCCACTGAGGTGAATAAAAGCCACTTGGTCAGCTCTCCTAAAAACCACATCTTACACCTAGTCCATTTTCCCCTTCCACAAATCATGACAGAAAATAACAGCAGGTGAGATGTCTTAGCCAAAAAGCTTTTGGAAGATACTAGACTGCAGAGGAAAACAGAATAAAAAGCAGTGGTAAGGAAATGCTAGTTAGGAAAATTAAGCATTTCAACAGAGGGTTTCAACTGAAATTGTTGCTTTTGCATTAGAAAAGCTATCCTCAAGAAAAATACATTAGAACTCATTCATTTACTACAGAAAGTGGATACTTGTTACAGCCCAGCGTTCCTGGAAAACCTGAGAAAAGGATGAAACAGAAGAAAAGCAGCAAGACCAACTGGGACTAATAAACTGCAAGCTAAGCAGCACTGCAGGCTTTCTAAGAAACTAAGTTTGCAGCTTTACCCCACCTCCAAAAAGAAACACAATGAAATTTTTACAATTACCAAAGGTTCTTTACCATAGCCTGAAGAATTTCCATTTTCCCCTTCATTAGTGGGGTTCGCTATTTTTATTACCCCCAGCAGTGAAAATGGTCCCTAGGAGCTGGCAGGGACCAGGCTGCTAAACAGACGGCTAATACAGCTCCCAAAGCTCAGCCAGAGAAGTCACCAGTTTTAAGACACTGATTATTTAGAAACCAACGCTTCACACAAACTCCTCTCAATTACATTCCAGAGCAGCGCTCCGTGTGACACAGAGCTGACTAAACAGTTTTCGGATTTTCACACTACATTGAAAACACCACTCAATATGTTTCTAAAGCCCGAGAAGCTTATTATTGATTTTTACCCCCACAGTTTTTTTTTTCCCCTTGGATTGCTGACATGTGGGAAAAAAAAAATTTTGAAAGCTGATGTCTCTACAGTTAAAAGAAAGTGCCTGAAAGAGCAAGCAAAAAGAAAAAGAAAAACCAGATAACCTAGGATCACATCAGCAGGACATCAGTCTTGCTCCCTAGGGTGGATTCTCCATCAGAAATTATGACAGTATGTCACAAATGTTACATCCTCAGACTACTTTCACCACCTCCAATCCTTCTAGGATACCAACTCAGCATGGGAGCATGACCTACGCCTCATTCTGCCACAAAAATTATTGCTCCTCTTTATTACCACGGGACTGCAAGATTTCCACAAAGAGCATCTTTTCAAAGAGTCAGGTGCCCTGTGCCACCCAAATAATCCCTGTTTCAGCTTTGGCAACTCCAGGACAAGACAGAAGCAGCAAAGAAGTGTATCTCAAAGCACTGCAGTACATCTATCATGGCACTTACCTCCAAATAACTCTCTGAGGCAGTCTGGCCAGAGCATGTGCTAACTTATCTGCTATCTCTTCCGACAGGTATTTCACTCCAGCTCCAAAGGAGACGAGGACAAAACCATTTTCCTTAGCCCCGTCCACCCACGCTTGGAGATCCTGTTAAAGTGAACATATATACTGAGCACTGTATCAAGTACAAATAAACCACAGAAACCGATTATATCAACATTGGTGAGAAGAACTGCTGTTGGCCCCTATGTTACTTCCCAAGCCAAGTATTAAAAGTTATTAAACATTCTAGAAATCACAAAGTACAACAACTTAGCAATTCAAAATCCACGGTAAAGGCTAAAAACCGCAATTTCTTCCACATTGGTTATAAATTACGTATCCCCAACCTTGCTCTTTCTTCACCTATCAGTTTACACACATTCGCAAGTTAACACATCGCGTTCTAACTCAGCAAAATAAATATAGAACTCATAGTATCAGTCTGGAAGCACAGGAAACACATGAATGGAGGCAGGGACTTCGCTGTGGGATTTCTAGCCTTAAACAAAGCAGGACTACTTCAAAAGGGTTGCTTTACTTCCAGTTATTTAAAAATAATAAATGCAACTTCAAAGAAGCCAGAGCTTAAAAACCAGAACAAACTACTTGAGATTTCCAGTGCTCCCATATTTCAAGAAGCAAGGAACAAACTGCATTGGTGCAGCAAATACAGGGTGAATGTTCCTCTTGGCTAGACCTAAATACTGATGATGACCCAAGTGCGTGTCTCTTAAACGTCAGGTTATTAGCATTATACCAAACAAACACAAGTTTAATAAAGGCCAAAGCCCCTTACACATCCTTAAGCTCATCCTCCTGGAATTGCTCTGAAATGAAGTGTCTTGCAAGGCAATTTCTGCTGACCTTCTCGCTTCAAGGCCTGCCCTGCTTCAGCAAGGAAGCCGAGCTCCGCAGTACTGCGCCACTCGGAAGCCCTTCAAAACCACCCTCCAGCTTGGCTTCCTGGGGATAACTCGAGAGCCAGGCCACGAGATTCAAGTTCAGGAGCAGCAGCTTTGACAGCTTCTCTCATCAAGAGATGCTCAGCCCAGGTGTGGTCACCTGTGGGAGCAGCCCACATGCAAACCACGGCTGCTCCAGAGTTTCATCACACTGAACATCTCGGTGCTTTGAGTCCAGCCACAAATTAGTCAATAGCCGATGCAGGGTTTTGCAGGGTCAGAGGGAAAACTATCCCAGCACACAAGACAGAGAAGAGCTGCCAGCTAAACATGTCTCAGACACACTAACAATGTCATTTGGCTTCAGGGAGGAAAAAAAATATGACCAAAAAAAAAAGCCTTAGTGTGCCTCTCTTGACTTTCCTAAATATAAATTTATATTTTTCCAGTATAACTGTTAGCAGCAGGAGCCAGAAAATTATACTGACATAAATATCCACCAGCCAGGCAAAGTGTATCTTATACTTCCCAAGATACGTTTTAATTCTGGTCTCGCCACATTAACGCGTAAGCCTGCTCAATACATACAGCAATAAGAAATCAGTAAAAGAAAATTAAGAGCCCTGTTCACAATGTCCCTCTTATCCTGGTATTAAATAGCAGGCCTGACACTAACAGAGCAATGCTGTGCTGTCGTATCTGAGAACCAAACTATAAAAGCTGCCACACAAGCCAGCAGGCATAACAAAGACCTGCTCATTACACAGGAGGTTGTACACTACTCTCCGCTCTGCAGTGTAAAAGGATTTCCCTTTTTCTCCATAAAATACACTCTCCTTCATTTTATCCCATCGTTTTCCAGTGCACTTGGCTATTTTGTGTTCCGCAGGATCTGCGGAGGGAGAGTGAAGAAGGGAAAAGAGGGTTAGTATCTGCAACCTGCTTGGAAGCTTCTGACATTAAAGTCTCCAAATAGTTTTCTGGTTTATTTAAAGTTTGTCCTTGAATTTCACTTCACAACCTAAGGCATGATGCAAATGCATATGCATAAATTTGCAAGTGCACAGACATAAGCTGGGCAGAGAAAGGACTGAGAGCAGCCCCGCAGTCAAGATCTTGGGGATGTCGGCTGACGAGAAGCTCAACGTGACCTCGCAACGTGAGCTCCCAGCCCACAAAACCAACAGCATCCTGGGCTGCATCAAACCCAGCAGGGCCAGCAGGTCAGGGGAGGTGATTCTATCCCTGGGTTTAGCTCTGGGTGGAACTAGATAGTCTTCAAGGTCCCTTCTGACCCAAACCATGCTCTGATGGTAACGTCAACCTTCAGCAATTCCAGATCCCTCAGATCAGAAGCAAAGCCTGGAGCAAAGAAGACCTACCCACAGAGGAAAATCAGGCTAGGCTACTTTTAAATGAACTGGGCATTCCCAAGTATATGGGACCAGTCATGCCAGTGTGCAACCAGGAGCTGGCCAAGGTCACCTCAAGGCCACTCCTGATGATTTGAAAGGTGTCCTCAAACTGGCTTAACTGGGCAGGGGAAAAAAAAAAAAAAAAAGAGTTCTGACAAGCGACACAAAGCCCAGCTGGAGGCATGTTAGTTTTTTCATAAGGGAAAAGGCAGAAAAGCATGGACTATTGCTAAAATATTTCTCATTCAGTATCAGGACGTCCTCCCTGTGACTTCTTGCGCTTGGTCAGACAATATGATTTCTGCTCCGAGACATCAGTCTGCTCTAGCTGGGGCACGGCTCCCGAGGCCACTGCTCCTCCATTCTTCATTAGAAAAGCTGTGACACTTCCCAGCTCCGATGTATTCACATATTGCAAATTATACATCATTAGGTGAACACAGAGAAGGAATAAAGTAATTCCTTACAGTCAGCTTGCCAAATAGCATCCAAAACCACCTCATCCATACTCACAAATAGCTACTAAATACTTAAAATTTTACATAGGAAAAAAAAACACCACCAAACCACAACTTCACTAAGTACCATGGAATCAGTCACCCTACAAACAGGCTTTTGCATTTTTTGGTTATGCAATCACAAAGCAACCTGCTTTGCGTTAATAGGACTGATTTCACAGCCAAACCTTTGTAACACTTCCCCTTGAAGGTAATCCCACTGCTTCAGTTGAACATAGCATGTACAAAGGGGAACTTGAAATCCTAACAGGCAAAATAAGATCTTGACATCAGGCTCAGAAGATGGAATTTGTCATATTAAATAGGATGGCATAAAAAAATAAAAAGCAATAGAATACAACCGGTTCTATTTTGTATAAACTCCAGTTTATTACCTGAGTGCTCCCTCTCCTGACTCGCTTGCCAAGTGTGGCAACATACAAAGGCACACTTGAAAGCTTTCAAACTTTGATGAAAACAACGTAAGCGTTTGCATGAAAAGCGCTTTACTCACTTAACAAATCAGGCTTGCTTCCCCTACACACAGGTCCACAGAAAGAAGAGACAAGTGAAATGAGGTTTTCCATGGTCCGAGGCAGTCAAGTGCAAATCAGCTCCGATTCAACGGGCACAAAACAAACACAAGAGCAACCAGCAGGGACTCAAGCAGACCAGCAGCCTACCCATCTACCATGGGCTTCCAGACCAGAGCTGGGTGATGCATGAGCAGCCTAAATCAGAAGCAAACAAACCTGCAAGTTGTTCTCAGGGTTTCTTTTAAGACAACAAAGACAGACAATATGATTTCATTTCCTCACACAAAGAAGTTTAAAACTGTTCTGTGAAGAGATCCAGAGAAGCTTCAATTCCTCTTGTCACATACTTGGACATCAACTGAAGGGTTCTTTTTTTTTGCACCCCAGCCAACTTCATCCTCACTCAGCTTCAGCTTTTCATTGTGTTGGTAGAATGAAGAACGTGCAGCCCCTTGCCAATGTGCTTCCCCAGAGATGTGCCAGGTTTCACCATCATGCACAGGTTGCCCAAAATTAACTCTACAGGCCTGTCAGGACAAGGATTCTCCTTGTATCCATGTGTGTAATACCTGGCATAACACAGCTTTAATTCAACAGGATCACGAAGCACTGCGAAAAAATCACAAAGTGAAAAACAACCGACTTGGAGTGTCTCCTTGCAGAGCTCCCCTATGTAAGTCCATTCTTCTCAGGTATCTTCAACCTATTAAAATTAATCCTATGGACTGTTTTGTAGTGCAGACTTTCTAAACTGGCGATTTAATGAAACTGAATCAAAGCGAGTGCCAGTCACAGGTCTTGAGTTGCAAGAGAGATCTGAAAATTCCCCTGCCATGGCTCAAAGGCTCAGTATTTACTTGTACTTTCTCTGTGCTTTTTGTCCCAGAAAAGACATAAAAATGATACTTAAAGGTAAAAAGCAGACCATGGTTTTGGCACATTAAAGAGACCAAATACTTCATCAGCATCAGCTATGTACGTCAACTTGCTCATATACATTCCAAATATTTACTTGAACAAGCACACTGCGTGACTGTGATGGAGGACAAACAGTGCAAAACACCAATTCTGAGCAATTATCACAAAACCCAAGTTGGGGAAGAGGACACGGATGCCACAGGACAAATTTGTTTGCCTACAATTTCAACATATCTAGCCCCTAGGGCCTCAAGTAACCTTCTCACCTTTCCATTCATTACACCCAAACGTCAGCCTCAACAAAACCACCATTTCAACACTGACAGGTTCCACAGACACCTGAGCTCATCCCTTAGGAACTCACCTCTTATTCCTGAATCCTTAAACTTTTGATCCCCTGCATATTCTGTCTCACTCATGGAACGAAGCCCTGTACAAAACCACAGTGAGTCAGGCTGGGTCAGGAGAGCTGCCTGCCTTGGAATCGGCCTTCCCTGGTAGGGCAGCGTTTTACAGCTCCTCGATTGCAGCAGGGAAGTGACCTCTTTTTGCCCAGTTCAAATGATTCAGGTTCACTGTAAATTCAGTGCCTTTATTTTTTAATGTAAGGAAAGGATACTAAGTATTTGAAATCCCAGCTCTTGAGGTCTAATCCTAGACATGACAAGGCTGCATTAATTCCTGAGCCTTCCTCAAACTCTTCTTCCAACTTCAACACAGAAGTGATAAGGAAACACTCCTGACCTTTGCAGTCAATTCAAATTTTAGAGCAGTGTTGCATGAACAAGCACACTTGATCACTTCTCTTTACCCCAAATATCCAAGTCTTGCTACGTAGAAACAAAACCTCTGGCTTATTTCTTGAGGTCCTGCCATAGCCAGCAAGGAACAATGCATCACTGAGGCTACTCTGCAAACGTGACATGCTTAGCAGCAGCATATAAAAACATCTGGCTTCCCCCTTCCAAACTACAAATCAAACCCAAACTTTGATGAACTCGAAAGTAAAATTTCTGCAAACATAGATTATGCACTAGGAAATGAAGCTTTAACAATGTAATTTCTTCTCCTAAGTTAACCCTTCAACTGACATTAATCAAGTATTAAGCTGGATACTCAGGTACACACTAATTTACCAGAAATTCTAAGATACCAACATAGCTGAAAAATCTGCAGCTGGAGAAGTATTCACAATAACCATTTGAAGGGGGAAGGCTGTTTCCTCCAGGGTCTCTCAGCTCAGGCAGGGAAGGCTCACGGGAAGGATTAAACTCAACACCCACAGCTAGACACCTCACAACACATGGCCCAGCCCCGTCTCCTCAACAGGGACAGCATGATCAGAAAAACCTATCTTGGATCTCCTTTCTGAGTTGGGTTACCTAAGAGCAATTATTTCCTTGGGGCATTACTGAAGGAGTGAAGGTCTTGGACTATGTACTGCTATTTTAGTGAGGTTCTCCCCATGTTTGAACAATAAGAATAAGCACTTATTGATCTATGCTGTACGACAGGCACGGGAGGGGGAGGGCAAGGAATTAAAAAAAATAAAAATACATCTTTTTACCATTCTCAGACAGGAATGCTATTGTGCCAGCCCTACTATGTGAGCTTTGTTCTATTTGATTCTCTAATTAGCTATTCTTAGCAGGCTTAGATGCTAAATGCACAGCTGTGACTATAGAGTGAGGACCCAGCTGGCAGTAACCAGTGGTGCCTAATACTGAGCTTTGTTTCCGATAAACAAAGTACACAAATACAAACATAACCGGGTTTAATATCCCAAGCTTCCCCTGTTCAGCTGCTCGATTCAAATGTGTAATAGCACAAATGCCTGTTCTTCGAATATGGTTGCAAACCACGCTTATCCCTATGGAGAGCACAGGCATGCTATGCAACTCCTTCTACAAAATGCTGCTTCAAGTAGACAAACCCAGATCTATTTCAAAATAAATAAATAAGAAGCCACAAGCAGTGATCTTTAGAAAGGAGATACTGATAAATGAACAGAAAGGTATAGAGCCCATTTCTATTAGTATCCTAACTTTTCTGGCATCTTCTGTGACATGAAATATTAATACGTGCCATATTAATGCATTTTTCATCTCGGTTCTAATTTTACTGAAAGGCATTTCGGCACAAGCAGTTAAAAGGTCATACAGATGCCGTTATATAACCTTTAACATCACTGAACAAAAGAGGATCCTATCGTACAATTGCGAAGTTATCAAGTAACACATCAGTCTACAGCAAAGCCAGAGCAACGGCACCACACTTTAGGCCAAGTATGCTGCTTGCATTAACTTTATATCACTTAAGAACCAAAAATAGGGTGTTTTTCTATTTGCACAAAAGAAAAGTAACACAGGACATGACAGCAAGCACAGAGCACCTCCCTGACTCAACACACTCAGCTGCCTTCTGCTGCCTCAGCCCAAACTCTCCGCATCAGCTGGCACGCGTGTCACTCTCAAGGTTATTCTTCCCATTAACTAAAATTCTGCCTGTTACAAAACAGAGGCTATGAGGCAAATGTGCCCGTCCCATTTTATCAGGGTTCATTCCTTTTCGTATTATCAGGCTCAGTCAGTTCAATTAACCCCTTCCAGGTTATTAACTCCCTACCCAGGAGAAAACCCATCCCCACTCCACCATTTGCACTCCACATTAATTAGACACTGATTTCCTCTTTACTCAGGTCCAAGTTGCTGTCCACACCCAACCACCTCTTACTAACTTGTAACTAAACAAGTTTTTGCCCCTCTCTTCCCATCTCCCATCATTCTGTTTTCTGAAGTTAAACTAAAAGTTGTAAAAAGAAGGAAAAGGTTTCATTCGTGAAGTCTCAATAACTTCACAACTTGTCTTGCTTCAAGACCCTGATGGTGGCTCACCTGTGCCACGTCCTATTAACACGCTGATGAATTCAATCCTATTATTTATCTGTCACACCAAGTCCACACAATTAATATTAATTTTGTTTGTATTTTGTAATTCACATTAGCGTAGCCATGTTTTGCACTTCATATTAGCAAAATACTCAGCAGAAACAAAGAAGCACATCAAACTACATGACATCCTTGT